GGCCAGGGCATAGGTGGCCTTGAATTCCATGCTAAGGAGTTGGGCTTAATACTCAGATAGCAGGGGTCTTGGGGTGTTTTGAGCAGGGAGCTGGTGTGAGCAAAGTGGTGTGGGCAGACTGATCTGTTGAGCAGCTTGGGGGATGGAAAGGAAAGGGTTAATGTGTGGAGATGGCAGCAGTGACAGAACCACAGGCTTGAAGATGAGATTGGTGTGGTCGCTGGGATTCGGCTGTGATTTTTATCTCTACCCTCTGCTTTTGAACTTCTGCCGTGGTTGCACAGACCTGGTTTGCTCTGTCAGCATTTCCTGAAGTCTGGGCTACATTCTCTAGTGGTACCTGAGACGTTTCTGCATGGAGCTCAAGGTCATTCAGAATGGAGTGCAGACGTGGCCTTAAATACCCCTGAGAGTGAGCAGCACCCCCCCTGAGGCCTCTCAGTCCTGACTGCCTCTGGGAAATTTCTGCCTTTACCTCCGCACCCTCCCGTTTGCCTTTTGTTGATAGACTGAGCAGCACAAGCGTAGGGTCTTTGGTAAGCAGTGGTCTCTAGAGAGAATTTACAAATTCGCCGTTTCTGTTGGCGTTAATTTTCTATGTACCAGGATGGCAAGTGGTCCTAGTTTTCCCCTTGCTGTAATGACATAAAACTGTTCATTTTAAGTAAGTTCTTTTTAGTAAGAAAAGTGAGTGAATTTGCTAGATCATATGGAAGAAATAATGACGCCGGTGGTGTGTGGATATGGCAAAAATCGTGGTGGCGATGTGCAATAATTCAACTTTGGGAAACATTGGGTTAGACTGAGTGGCAAAAACCGGCACGTGCCAAATCATTGTGCTTGTGCCTGGAGGGGCTCTGGGCGGCGGGGTGGTGGGGAGGGGGCTGCTGGAATTGCAGGGCCTGGGCCAGCGGCACTGGGTCAGCTGGGTGGGTCCCACTGCTGTCCCTGCCACTGCCTAACGCCCCACTCCTGCCTCTGCCCGCAGAGATCCGCACGCAGCTGGTGGAGCAGTTCAAATGCTTGGAGCAGCAGTCCGAGTCGAGGCTGCAGCTGCTCCAGGACCTCCAGGAGTTTTTTCCGTCGGAAAGCCGAGATCGAGCTCGAATACTCCCGCAGCCTGGAGAAGCTGGCCGAGCGCTTCTCCTCCAAGATCCGCAGCTCCCGGGAGCACCAGTTCAAGTGAGAAGGGGCTGGAGGGCTGGGGCGGTGGGAGGCAGTGCTGGGGGTGGGGGGGTGAAGCAGAATGGAGGCAAGGAAAGAAAAAAACAACAAAACAAACAGAAAAAGAAAGGAAGCACAGACTCATTGGAGGTAGCTGGCATGCTTTCCAGGCCCCGGCTCTGCAGGTGACTTAGGTCTCCGAGCCTCAGTCTTTCTCAGTGTGAAGTGAAGATGGAAGTAGTTCCTACCCATTACGATGCTGGAGGGAATACATGAGGGACTCTAGAAAAGTGCTGTCAGACAGTAAGTGCTCAATAAATTGTTCTGGCGTTAGTATCCCACCAAACCCCAGGCACCACACTAGCCTCCATTTGGGCCAAGGTTACATCCCGACTCCTTTCAGGACATCCTGACTCTACCCAGTTCCTTCTCACCTGGGGGTCAGCCAGCCCACGTTTGAATTCCTTCAGCATGATGACCTCAGATTTTCTTCTCTGTGGACCTGATGCATTCCTCTTCCTCACTCCCCTGGAGGACAGTGCCAGGCTCTTTCCCTGCCTTAGTTCCCTGTTTACATACACACACCTCCCAGGTCCTAACTTCTCAAATCCCAAGCTCCAATTCGAGGAGGGAGGCTTGGTCCCCTTGAGTGCGTGCCGGGCTGAGTCCTCTAGCTGCAGATGCCTCTCAGCTCAGAACCCGCGGGGCCTGTGGCCAAGTGCAGGCAGGAGCCACAACCTCATGTGGCTGCGTCCACCCTGAAGCTGTCTCCCCCTCCACCACGGTCCCCAGATGTCCCCCTCCTCCATGAGCCATCTCTCCAGAGAATGGCCCTCAACCTCAGGACTGGAGACTTGTTTCATCCTACTTTCCTCGTTCCTTTTTCCTCTGGGTTCCATCTCTTTTTTAAATCTCTACATGGGTTTAAATTGTGGTAAAATACCCAGAATATTTACCATCTTAACCATTTTAAAAAGGTATAGGTATGTGGCATTAAGTGCATTCACACTGTTGTATAACAATCACCTCCATCCCTCTCCAGAACTCTTCATCTTACCTGAAACTCTGCACCTAGTAAACAGTTCCCCTCTCCCCTTGCCCCTGGCACCCACCATTCTACTTTCTGTCTCTGGGAGTCTGACCACTCTGGGGACATCATGTAAGTGGAATCAGACAGTATTTGTCCTTTTGTAACTGGCTCATGCCACTTCACATAATGTCCTCAAGGTTCATCCATATTGTCAACATGTGTCAGAGTTGCCTCCCTTTTTAAGGCTGAATAATATTCCCGTGTGTGTATATGGACCACGCTGTGTTTCTCTCTTGTTTGTCAGTGGACATGAGTTGCTTCCACTTTCCTCTCTGCGTTTTACCTTCTGCTCTGGCCAGGGAGTGCTCTTCCTTTAAACTCCCCTAAACATCTCCCTTAATCGGCGCCCACATTTGAACACTCACTTTTGTGCCTTCTTCCTTTGACATTTGGGGAAAAGAAATTGCTTTATTAAAGGGCAAAAATTTATTCCACATTTGCAAATACCATGTATATTTTTACTACCCAGTCTCATCCAGTGAAACTTCCATTGCAGGAGGATGCTTCTATTAATAACTTCCCCCCAGGCACTGCCTGGACCCTTTCATACATGATCCTATTTTTCTGATATATTTTTTGGAGCAAATTTGTCCTTTTTTAAATGATAAAATTCAAATGCTCATTGTATGCAATTTAGAAAAAGCAAAAAAGTTGGAGAAAAAAACAGTTGCTTACCGTCCCACCGCCCAGAAGCTCCCCATTTTGGTGCCTTTTCTCGCCTGCCTTTAATAATGACAACAGCGATAATCATTTATTGAGCACATTACTGAGCGCTTGCCTTGAGCCCGATGGGTATTACTACCCCATCTTAAAGCTGAGGACAGTAAAGTCCTGACAGAGCAGCTTCTACAAACACGTCTGTGGACCAGTTTTCAGGATGTGACAGATTCAAACCTTCGCTCTCATTTTGTCTCCTTGCCCTGAGATAAGAAAGGGCCTGGGTGTTGTCTGAGAGCAGCCATGGACTCTGAACACTCCTCTGAAACCACAGACAACGACACACATGCGGAGACCCACATCTCTGGCTGAGCTGTCCCAGGAACTGTCCAGGGCTGTGTGGCCCAGGGAGGCGGGGCACTTGGGGAGCACGGGCCTGGGGCCCCTGTTTCCTTGCGTTGCTTGTAATGAGCTCAGTCAGCCCCTCCTGGGTTCATTAACTGAGGCTGCCAGACAGAACGTGAGCCCCAGCTGGCAGTCGGGCCAAGCTGTGCACACTGTGAAAGTCTAATTAGGGCGTGGCCCAGGCCAGTGCAGCTGGCGCAGGCCCTCTCGACGAGGCTAACGTGGCGGCCGAGCCCCCCGTGGCTTTTAGAAGCAAGAGTCTCCAGGGGGTGCCTGGGCTTGCTCTTTGCCCCTGGGGCCAACCAGTGCTGACCCCTGGCTGCCTCTTCTCTGGAGCTCAGTGCACAGGGGCTGTGCTGTGTCCTAGGCCCTTCATCTTGGCTGTCCAGAGAAGCCTGGTCCTGCTGGCCTACAGATACTTGATTAAGAGTGTCCAGCGGTCTGCCAGGTGGCCTCTCAGGGCGTGGAGGCCGAGGCCCAGGTCTGGTCACTTTCTTCCTTCTGCATGGGGCCCAGTGCAGGGCTGCGGCGTGGTGTTTGTGAGCGAGCAGGAGAAAGAGAGAGAGGGGATTTACTTGCTTTGTAAAGTTCACTCTGGCTGAGAGATTTGGCTTAGAGAGGGGACTGATTTGCCCAAGATCTCACAGCAAATAAGTAGCAAACCTGGGATGGGCATTGTCTTAGTCCATTCGGGCTGCTGGGTGGTCCAAAGGACCACAGACTGGGTGGCTTAAGAGTCAGAAATGTGTTCCTCGCAGTTCTGGGGGCTGGAAGTCTGAGACTCTGGTGAGGGCCCTCTTGCGGCGTTCGGACTGCTGCTTCTCCCGGCTCCTCACACAGCAGAAAGCAGAATGAGGAAGCAGCCCGAGTGACTCTTACAAGGGTGCTCATGGCCTCCTCTAACCCTAATTACCTGCTAAAGGCCCCACCTCTAATACCATCACCTTCTGCGGGGCACAGTCAGTCAGTGACAGGAACTCATGTCTCTTGACTCTTAAGTCCAGTGCTCCTCTTTCTGCTCCCTGGCTCTGCCCCTCTCAGGCCTCAGCTGCTCCCTATCCACCTAGGCAACTGAAAAGTTTACAGCTGCCCAGGAAGTGGCCAAGAGGAGTCTGGGCTAGACTTACCTGGGCTGACTTCCATGTGGCCCCTGATTCAAAGAAAGGCTCAGTTGATGGCCCTGAGGGCCCACCTGGGGCAGGTTGAACATTTAGAGACCAGCATCATCATGTCTCTTTTCCGCCATCACATATTGCTAGTCTTTTTTTTTTCTTTTAATTGAAGTATAGTCCGTTTACAGTGTTGTGTTAATTTCTGGTGTACCTCATGGTGATTCAGGATATATGTATGTGTGTGTGTGTGTGTGTGTGTGTGTGTGCGTACGTGTATACTTTTTTATACTCTTTTCCATTAGAGGCTTTTACAAGGTGTTGAACACATTTCTCTGTGATATACAGTAGGACCTTGTTGTTTACATATATCTGTTCTAACACACCTTTTTCAAAACACTCTGACATCTTTGCTCTCTTCTAATCCTGATGATGAACGAGCATATAGAGAGGGAGCCAGGGGTTTTATCTCGATCCAGGCAAGCTGAGTGGTGTTTTATGAAGGACACACCATGAGCTGCTGAGTGAGAAGACCCGGGGCTCGTGACTTCCAGGGTGGGCCTCTCTCTCCGAGAAGCCACATGGGTCGTCATCTGTGGGAAATGTGTATATTGAGGGCCTCTTATATTCCTAGGCTGTGCTTCATGCTGCAGACACAGATTAATGAGAGAGCGAGCACGTGGCTGGTATGGCTAGGGTGGGCTCCCGGGCCCTGTGGCCCTGCTCTTTGAGCCCTGCCACCTGCTTGCTTTTCAGACCTCAGTCTTTAGCTGCCACCTCCTCTGGAAAGCTTCCTGAGTCTGCCCTGCTCCCTTCCTCCATGTGTCTATAAGATTCTGTACTTGTCTATCTGCTTATTCAGCCAATATTTACTGAGCACCTACCATGTGCCCTGCCCTGGTTTATGGTGGTGAACAAGACAGGCTTGGTTCCTGCCATAGTGGCATTGACCATCTCATGGAGGAGAGAGACCATCAGAAACAAGTAAAAGACTGCTTGTCATCAAATGGTTGCAATGATGGGGTGATTGCTGTGGTCTGGGTTGGAGGCTCTAAGACGACTGTCACACACGTTTCCTGGCACTTAGGTGACAACAGCTGTAAAGCTCAGCCAGGCTGCCCCCTTCTCCGTGTGGTCCCACTTCAGACGTGGGGGTTCAGGGCACTGAGATGGCAGTGGGGGAGCTGCAATCTTCTTGGACCCCTGCCTCCACCCCCACCTCGCCCCCAGATTCTCTTGATCAAGGTGGTCTCAGCTCCAGCTCAGCTTCAAGGGGAGGGAAAATAAAGCCCTGCTGTCACAGGGGGACTGTCAGAGGATCTGCATCTCTCATGACTCCTCCACCCTGAGCTAGGATGGCAGTCAGGGAAGGCTTCTGGAGGAGGTGGTGTGTGAGCAGAGATCTGAGGGATGAGAAGGAGCAGCCATGGGCACAGTAGGAGGGAAACAGAGGCTGGTGGGGCTGGAACTGGTGATGAGGGGTGCTGTAAGCCACTGAGGGAAGCAGCCTCAGCAGGGAGCAGTGTGATCTGATGTCCACTAAAAGATCACTCTGGATTGGAGGGGCAGTAGTGTTGCAGAGGAGGCCAGCAGGGCGGGTGCGAGGACGGCTCTCCAGGCAGTGGTGATGACAGCAGAGTGCACAAAGAGTGACAGGGGCTGGGAAATCTCTCTGAGGCAGAACTGAGGAAAAGAGAGGAATCTGTTCTGACCTGAGATGGAGGGACTTGAGGAGGGGATGAGGAGCTGCCACCCTG